CTGGGGCCACCACAAGCCCCACACCCCCCCCCCACGGGTCACCCCAGGCCCAGTGGGGCCATAATGGAACCAGTTGCCACCCCCCAGTGCGCTCCACTGAGCGGGAGCAGCGTCATTTTCACCCCCACCAGTGCTCCCAGTGGGGCCGTACTGGGACCAGTGTGGGTGACCCCACCTGGGACCTGGCCATGTGCCCTACTGGGACCAGTATGTTCCCCTCCCTAGGCCTTACCGGGACCAGTGTGGGTGACTCCACTGAGGCCTTACTGGGACCAGTACACTCCCCCCTACTGGGGCCTTACTGGGACCAGTATGTTCTCCCTAGGCCTTACTGGGACCAGTACACTCCCCCCTACTGGGGCCTTACTGGGACCAGTATGTTCTCCCTAGGCCTTACTGGGACCACTGTGGGTGACTCCACTGAGGCCTTACTGGGACCAGTACACTCCCCCCTACTGGGGCCTTACTGGGACCAGTATGTTCTCCCTACTGGGGCCTTACTGGGACCAGTATGTTTTCCCTAGGCCTTACTGGGACCAGTGTGGGTGACCCCACTGAGGCCTTACTGGGACCAGTACACTCCCCCCTACTGGGGCCTTACTGGGACCAGTATGTTCCCCCCAACTGGAGTCTTACTGGGACTGGTATGATTCTCCCAGTTGGACCCTTACTGGGAACAGTATGATCCCCCATCCCAGGGCCTAACTGGGACCAGTATGCCTCCCCTGTTGGGGCCTTACTGGGACCAGCCCATATGCCCTACTGGGACCAGTACATTCTCCTCCCTGCGCCCTACTGGGACCAGTATGCTCACCCATACTGGGCCCTTACTGGGACCAGTATGATCCCCCATACTGCAGCCTTACTGGGACCAGAACACTCCTCCTTCTGGGACCTTACTGGGACCAGTATGCTCACCCATACTGGGGCCTTACTGGGACCAGAACAATCCCCCTGCTGGGACCTTACTGGGACCAGTATGCTCACCCATACTGGGGCCTTACTGGGACCAGCTAGTGCCCCTGCTCCAGAGCCTTACTGGGACCAGTATGGGTGATCTCACTGGAGCCCACCTGGCACCAGTACATCCACATAGTGGGACCAGTACACTTCCCCCACCGGGTCCTTACTAGGACCAGTATGTTCCCCTCTACTAGGGCCTTACTGGAACCAGCCCATTCCCCACCCCGGGGCCATACTGGGAACTGCCCATGCCCCCCACTGGAAACCTACTGGGACCAGTACATTCCCCCAACAAGGGTCCTACTGGGACAAGTAAGGTCCTCTGTACTGGGGCGTTACTGGGACCAGCCTGTTCCCTTTACTGGGGCCCTACTGGCACCAGTACATTCCCCCAACAAGGGTGTTACTGGGACCAGTGTGGGTGACCCCATGAGGGCCTACTGGGACCAGTAACGTCCCCTTACTGAGGTCCTACTAGGACCAGTAAGATCCCCCATACTGGGCCGTTACAGGGACCAGGATGCTCCTCTTACTGGGGCCCTACTGGGACCAGAATGTTCCTCTTACTGAGGCCCTACTGGTACCAGTAAGGCCCCCTGTACTGGGGCCTACTGGGACCAGTATGTTCCCCCCACTGGAGCCTTACTGGGACCAGTACATTCCCCTGCACCGTGGCCTTACTGGGACCAGCCCATTCCCCACCCTGGGGCCATACTGGGAACTGCCCGTGCCCCCAGTGGAAACCTACTGGGACCAGTAAGGCCCCTCATACTGGGGCCCTGCTGGTACCAACCCATTCCCCTGTACTGGGCCCTACTGGGACCAGTACACTCCCCTCACCAGGGCCCTACTGGGACCAGCTCACGTACTGTACTGGGACCAGTATGTTCCCCCCACCAGGCCCTACTGGGACCAGTATGTTTCCCCTACTGGGACCAGCCCATTCCCTTGTACTGGGCCCTACTGGGACCAGTACACTCCCCTGCACCGCGACCTTACTGGGACCAGCCCGTTCCCCCTCACCAGGGCCCTACTGGGACCAGCTCACGTGCCGTACTGGGACCAGTATATCGCCCCGACCAGGCCCTACCAGGCCCAGTATGTTTCCCTTACTGGGACCAGCCCGTTCCCCTGTACTGGGGCCTACTGGGACCAGTACACTCCCCTCACCAGGGCCCTACTGGGACCAGCTTACGCACCATACTGGGACCAGTATATCCCCCCACTGGGCCCTACTGGGACCAGTATGTTTCCCCTACTGGGACCAGCCCTTTCCCCTGTACTGGGGCCTACTGAAACCAGTACGTTCCCCCCCACTGGAACCCTACTGGGACCAGTACATTCCCCTGCTCCACAGCCTTACTGGGACGAGCCCGTTCCCCCTCACCAGGGCCCTACTGGGACCAGCTCACGCGCCGTACTGGGACTAGTATATTCCCCCCACCGGGCCCTACCAGGACCAGTATGTTTCTCCTACTGGGACCAGCCCATTCCCCTGTAGTGTGGCCCTACTGGGACCAGTACGTTCCCCCCACTGGAGCCCTACTGGGACCAGTACATTCCCCTGCACCGTGGTCTTACTGGGACCAGCACACGCGCTGTACTGGGACCAGTATATTCCCCCCACCAGGCCCTACCGGGACCAGTATGTTTCTCCTACTGGGACCAGCCCAGTAGCTCCCAGTCCAGCACTAGTTTAACTTCAGCTCCACACAGGGGAACGGGGGGGGAGGTTGAAATAATGCCGTACTGGGACTAGTATATTCCCCCCACCGGGCCCTACCAGGACCAGTATGTTTCTCCTACTGGGACCAGCCCATTCCCCTGTAGTGTGGCCCTACTGGGACCAGTACGTTCCCCCCACTGGAGCCCTACTGGGACCAGTACATTCCCCTGCACCGTGGTCTTACTGGGACCAGCACACGCGCTGTACTGGGACCAGTATATTCCCCCCACCAGGCCCTACCGGGACCAGTATGTTTCTCCTACTGGGACCAGCCCTTTCCCCTGTACTGGGGCCTACTGGGACCAGCTCACGCGCCGTACTGGGACCAGTATATCCCCCCCAGCAGGCCCCACCAGGCCCAGTATGTTTCCCTCACTGGGCCCAGCCCTTTCCCCGCCCCCCCACGGCCTTACCGGCCCCGGTGCGGCCTCACCAGGCCCACACCCCCCCCCGCCGAGGCCTCCCCTCAGGCCTGGCGGGGCCCGGGGTCTCCCGGTGAGGCCTGGCCGGTGCCGGGGGGGGGTTTCCCCGGCTCCCGCTCACCTTTCTGGATGCGGAGCTGGGCGGCCGAGGCCTTTTTGCTGGTGCCCTTGGTGCCGCCCGCCGATTCCTCCTCCTTCTTCTGTTGCTTCAAGGAGAAGAGCTTGATCATCCTGCCGGGCCCAACAGAAGCGGGGGGGCCGGGAAGCGGGCCGGGGGGCCCC